ACAACCTCTGGCATATGGGGCCCGTGCCCTACTCCTTTGAGCCACAGGCACCGCTCCCAGAGTTCTTTTCTTAAAGAATGACTTTTCTTTATTATAAATAGACAAGTTTTCATTATTTATATTTTTTAACTCAATCTGACATTTTTATAGATGGATGAAAACGTGAATGATTTCTATAGCATACTATTTAAACTTCTTATTCTACATATTTTTATTATTTCTTTCTAATAAGCGACCCTAGATTTGAATACTGCAATGGAAAAGACATCAGAGAGTACACGACTATACTTCTAATGAGAGGACTCATTTTCATTCATGAATAGTAAAAAAAAAAAATCCCAACAATATTTAAATGTGCACTATATTTGTCATCACTGTTTATAAAAATATTTAGAAGTAATTTTTTGTTAAAAAAGACACTGAACTTACAAATGAACTTAAATCCTCAAAGTCAGCATTTAAGGTCCTTATTTGTAATTCAATTACACAGTTCTTTATGATAGCTGGTGACCAAATTCTCAGGGCAGCCCATAAAAGTCTAGTAAATTCCCTACTGTGGCTCCAGTGTCTACATTTGTAATGGAAACAAGTTGAAAACGAATACTGATGGAATGCTAGCAATGGAAATTATTTAAAATACAAGGTAAAAGGAATGAGTTTTCAAGTCCCTAGGAAGGAGCAGGGTAATGGGTGAATGTTAGGTTATACAGTTCCATGTATGGATGCTAGGTGGTGCTACTGAACCAGAACAGCTTGATTATTTGCCAAGTCTAGGGTGTATTATGAGGGATGTGTTCCCATGACTATTCCTGTTACAAATATCCGCATGTTCCTTGCCTTTAATTTGCTTATTTATTTTGGTCTTTACTACCACTGCAATGTTAGTTTCTAAAAACCATGACTAGGAAAAATATTGATAGTTTGTAGCATGTCAGATTTTAATAGTCTGGGAGAAAAAGTATTCATAAATACATTAGCGCTCAGGGCTTGGAAATGTGTGAATCTTGCCCCTTACTTCCCTATTTTATCTCTTAACTTCTCTGGGTTGGCTTCCTTTTCCTTTCCTTTCTTTCTTTGGAGATGCAGCCTCACTTTATTGCTCTAGGGTAGAGTGCCCTGGCTTTGGCCTAGCTTACAGCAACCTCAAACTCCTGGGTTCCAGTGATCCTCCTGTCTCAGCCTCCTGAGTAGCTGAGACTACAAGTGTCTGCCACAGAGCCTGGCTAATTTTTCTATTTTTAAGTAGAGATGGAGTCTCACCCTTGCTCAGGCTCATCTTGAACTCCTGAGCTATAGTGATTTTCCTGACTCGGCCACCCAAAGTGCTAAGATTATAGGCGTGAGCCACCGTGCCTGGCCCGGTTTCTCATTTTTAAAAGGTCATAAATAATGAATGGACATATGGAGACTAATTAATAAAAAATGGAACTGTATATGTTAAAACACCCAGTAAGGTTGCTTTAACTCAGTAAAGTCAGCTTGGACCTTCGTTCTCCTGAATTCAAACCCATGTCCTGCACAGGCAGAGTTCTCCCAGCGCTCCCTCCAAGGTACTTGCCACAGTGTCAGCAGCAGGCCCCTGGCTGGTAAGAAGCACTGAAACATATCCTCTTGGTTCTCCATCATGTTAAAACTTTAATTTTTATTTCACCTTAAGTACTTGCTATCATAAACTTCTTCTGAGAGACACTATTCCGTTTCCACAGAATGCAAGTATTAATATAAAATAACTATTTTTTTTAATTTCTAAAGGCTAAGTTTCTCAAAAATTTTTGGTAGAAGACAAATTTACTTAATTCTAGAACGTCTTCCTATAAGAAATGAATGGGGCGGGGGTGGGAACGGTCAAGCTGTTAGTTAGGAAGCTTGTTAACTTCTCTCAGGGCGAGTTCCTGGAACAAGTGGAATTGATTGGAAAGAATTAATGAGTATCATTCTGATCTAAAATAAATGACACCCCCTTTGACTCACAGACATTACTGTTTTTACAAGTTCCTAAATGGTCACTGCCGTTTGTTCAGTTTCTTTAGTATTGAGACTGGTGTACATGTTTTTAGTATTGCTGGAGAGGGATTACTAAAAATCAACACATACCTACACTTTTTTAAATAATAGGACACACACACACACAAATGGTCAGTGGCAATATGCATCTTAATTCAGCTCTTCAAATAATCAGTTAATCTACGACAACCTAAGGGTCACTAGACCCCTTAGCATACACTAGATTTGAGTTTTTCTTCTCTCCATTCTCTTTTCAGTTATAAAATTCTTCCATAAAGGCAAGAGCAATGGTTTTAGTGCTCTACAATATGTGACTTTATACTAAAAATACACGAATAAGTGCAATGACTAAAGTGCCCTGCAATTACTCTTTAACTTAGTTGACACCAACTCACTGACTTTTGGCGATGAGAAAACACTACAAGTGCTTAGTCTTTGCAAAAGCTAAAATACATTGAGAAGCTGGCCAGAAGTGTGTGTTTCTCTCTCACTCTCTGCCTAGCGGGAGGGTAGAGAAACTCTTCAGGACAGAAGGACTGTGGACTTGCTTGGCCTTCAGTGTTATACAGAAAATGTCACAAGAAGATGCCCAAGGGACCACAGAACACAGTAGAAGTTACTGAAACACCAACTCAATGGTCTGTTTTGTTGTCATGTGTCATCAGACAGCTGAGAGAGTTATACCGGGGTGATATTCACATAGTGAACAACCAGTCCCACTCAGAAAGTGCAGCCAGAACAGTTGCTGAGTGTAGCACTGGGCCAGGGTCCTGAAGACCCCTTCTGTGTCATGAATCATCCCTTTCGTTACTACAATGTTGGAAAAAGGGAGGAGGGCTGCCAGAGTGGCAGGTGGCACTAGGAAGATGGTGGAGAAGCATTTCACTGTTTTAACAGCTAGTACAGCTGGCTGCTGTGGCTGGCCACGTGGACTGGCTTATGGAAACCTTTCATCCCACCACACAGGAATACCAGATGTCCCTTATTCCTCTGAGTTATTTAATATACAGCTATGCCAAGCCCTAAGGGGACAAAAGTCTTTAATTTATAGGTGGAAAGATGATAATAAGCTAATAATTACAGAGGATTAAGACATCACACTTAGTATAACTGAGATCATTTCCCAGAACACACAGCCCCTGCGTGTCTTTGCCCATTATATATCTTCTCAATGAAAGAACTCTGCGAGAAGTGCTCAGTGCTATCCTGCACCTAGGACAGCCTCACCTCTTGCAGCGTGTACTGTCAATCCGCGTCCCGCGTGATCACTTATGCGGTCGCAACAAATAATTCAATTTTCAGCAATCTTTTCTCCTTTGATTAATGTGCTTTCCCATCACGGGAGGAAGACCCACAGTTTCTGAGAAGTCACATATGCTTCCTTAGTGAGGAAGTCAGTAAGGTACACCCTGCCGGCAGCCAGTTAAGGGGCCCTTTGGGGCTGATTTTTGTGGATGGTTTATCTGTGTTTAAAAAAAACAAATGTAAAAATGTCCTCATCTGTGTTATCAGGCCTGCAGCCCCGTTCTAGCTTTTGTATCCAGGGAATGTTGTCTGTTCCAGACCTCAGGACGGGTGATGATGATGGCGGTGACGTGGAAGAGCACTCCAACGCTCTCAGTGACCCCTTCCCAAATGCTAGAATCAGAGCGTTCATTTACTTAATGACTATGTGTCACCAGGATGCAGACAGCCTTTGATGTCATACTGGATATCACACACACACACACACACACACACACGATGCCATATGACAAGATAAAGCCCCAAAGGAGATAATAACAATAATCAACATCAATCTTTTTTTTCCCCCTCAAACGAGTGTAACTTAGGACAGGACCTGTCCTTGCACAACGAGCTGAGTTTATGCTGTCTTACACAACTAAAAATCAGACACGTGAGAGCTCTTTGAGTTCTTTCAATTTAAATTCTGTAAACTCTCTAAATTGCTTGTTGTTGAAAGGCAAAGGAAGTCCTAGTTTCAAAAACTATATCAAGGCTTATTATGTGTCTAGCTATTTAAACCACCTCTAGCTGAGTAGACATACCTACGGGGCATACCTCAAGATTTTGGGTCATGTTCCTGCATGTAGATAAATCAGATTTTATTGCTGGATGAGAGCTGGGCCAGCCAGCCATCTTCCTCAGCAAATCACTTGGGGTGTTAGGATTACCTTAACCTTCGGTGATCGGAGCCGGGGCTCCCTGGACAAAACCCAATTTACCTGGGTCTTGTACTCGCTAAAGAGGCAGGCATAGTTCAAGGTCCCTGAGAGGCAGCAGACAGAATTTGAGGCGCTTTTAAGCTGCTTCTTCTATCTGCCAGGCAGAATGCTGTTATCAGGGGACAAGTAGGCAAGGCTTGTGGTGGCAGCAACAGATTAAGGAGACTAGGAAAGAAACAAACATGTCATTTGTCTTTCCAGATAAAATAATAATGAGAAAAAAAATGATGGATTCTGAAAGTAATTATATTTACAATGATACTACGGGCGACCTTCGTAATTGCTTTGCCACATCCTATTTCTTGCTTCCATTTGAAGGCCACTTGGTTTGTTAGAATAAAATCATAATTGTATTTTCAATTTGCTGCTCTAGCTATTCTATTGCTAGGATTTTACACGCTAGAGCGCTCGTGTCAAATGGAAGTCGGGCCAGAGAGAATTCACCGCAAGGATGGCTCTTTCCTCCTTACTTGTGTTTCTGCTGGTGGAATCCAGGGGTGCACACGAGATTCTGCTGTTTACCCCAGTAACATGTTCAGGACAAGGCCCATGGAGAATGTTGCCAATTTGGTTTTGCTTGGGGAGAAGGAATGGAACCATCATGGCTTTAGAACATGGCAATACACCTGAAGTGTAGGATTTTGGGATCTGTAACTCAACGGTTCTTACCTTTCTTTGTAAGCCAGGGGAACCGCCCTGTTTTAGCAGAAGAGATCATTTCATCCTTTTATTTTCCGAAGCCTTTTCAAGGTGAGCTACAAGGGGAGTTACCTGGGTCTTTGTAGATACTGAGCACGCCCTTGAAGTAATGAGGTAAAAATCTTTCCAGTAAAAGCAGCACATCTTCCAACTCTTCAAGGATCCCCACCAGCAGGAAGTTTTCATTCACGTTCAGCTTTGCTCTTTCAAGGGCCCACTCACCAGGCTCCCTGAGTGGACACAAAAATTCTTTGTAAATCAAGGATCCATCTTTGAAATGTGCAAAAACACGCTGAGAGTTTATCCCTCTGCCCACCTCCTCCCCTGCCCCCTGTTAGCCTTAAGTCCCAACTCTATTTCCTTCAAAGACCAGCCCAGATGTAGCCCGATCCAGATCCCTCCCCATCTTCTCAGCTGGTGTCCCCTCTCCTTCTCACTGTCCCTTCCCTTTCCCGGTGATCCTGCATGATGTCCAGCTCAGGGCCCTGAACCTATGGGGCTCTGCCTAAGTGTTTGTGGAAGTCAGGTCCTAACAAATACTGATCAAGACTAATCAGAATGGCTTTTTAACAGGAGGACCAAAATGAACCAATTAAAGTCAGAAGTTTTGAGACAACAAAACTTGCCAACATAGTATTTATGTAGAAATTAAAACAGGTGTTAGGTCATGCCTGCTAATCACCTTAGGCTGTCAGAGAGTTTATAGGGAAAGCTTGTTTTGTTTTGTTTACACGACAGACAGCCTAATCTCAGACCACATCTAGGAACCAGTACTTGCATAAGTGAGAGAAAGCCAGCAGTTGGGCTCTAGGCTGTCAGCTACCCTCCGGGGGAAGCTGGGCAAGCCAGGATTCTCTTTTGAAAACTGGTTAACAGTAGCCCTTACCTGGCTTACAGCATTGTTGTGAAGGTTGAACAGGGAGACATTTGAAAGAGTTCTGAAGATCACTGCATGTGTATCACACAAGCCATCATAAGTACTCTCTCCCAGACTAGGAAATGTACAGTTTACAAAATACTTTAGGGAGTGAAAATTATGTTTCTTGGAACGAATGTCTTCAATGTGATCAGAAAGTGAGTCATCTGGCCCCAAATCCTTCCAGTATCTGAAGGATTACATGTGAATCAGGAGGTATTTATTATTAGGGCAAGGGTCAAGTGTGGGGTGGGTGGAGGCCCCCTCAACTCAGGAAGTTTATGATGAAGCAGAACATTGACACTCCTAGTCCCAGAACTTGGACCACACTAAACTAAACACAACAGCAACATCAACAACAGTAACTCAGTGGAAATCGCTGTGTAAGGCCGAAGTGCAATGCATGCCTGGCAACCGAAACAGCAGGCTGCCCTGGTCTCTCTGGAAACACAAAGCCCCTCTCATCGACGTCTTCTCTGGGGCATCCAGTCACTTCTGGTGACAGTTTATTTCCCATCAGCTTCAGGTGGCTAGCACTTCTCTAGGCTTGGGCAACTGTCTGGTATTTCAACTGTAGCTACACCAGCATCTCCTGGAAAGGTGGTGACACATGTCTGCGCCCCACCTCGGAGACTGTGATGAGGAGAAGGTGCTTACCAGGTACTCGGGGCTGCTGCTGCAGGACAGGACGCAGGCAGACCACACACCCAGGGCCCTGACTCTCTGAGCAAGTCATTTTCTAAACGAGGTCACGCCCTGCAGAAAGGCTGGCAGGCGATCACTAGAAAGCACTGGCCTCTCGTCCGAGCATGTCTCATGAGAGACGAGCGAATGGTGGCCGTGACCTTCCAGGGTTTCAGACCCAAGGAGACACGCCACGAGGGCAGGAACAGTTGCTGATTAAGTCCAGTCACTGTGGAGGAGCAGGCTGGGTATGTGGCCCTGGTCTACACTATCTCGTGGCTCTGTAGTGACAGCTGTTTTCGGTATAAACAAGGATTTGGTTTCAGTTACATAGCTTTATAGCGTGGTCCCCCGAGGCCTCTTTCAGAGACCGATTTTTAAATTTCATTATTTTTAAAACATTCAGTGTCTCAAATGATATCTTTAAAAACTAATAGTAAATATAAACTGAATTCCAGAAGGTTGAGAAACCAGGGACACAAAAGAGTCCCACAGGGCCAGTCTGGCGGGTTTTCCGTCCCTGGGCACGTGTACAAGCTGTAAGGCCTGCTTTAGTCTTTACCTGCATCTGGGATGCTGTCCACAAAAATACGGAATGATGTAAAATAACCTGGGGTTGGAGCACTCAGGGTAGTTTTCAAGGATACACTCATTGATATCCTGGAAGAGAAAACACAGCAGTGAGGGGCCTCGTCATCTCTGCGGCGCTCCGTCAAACGCCATATGATTTAAGTGAGATTCATGCTTAAGTTACACGGGAAAGGCTTGAGAAGATGCAGAGAACTCACAGATTTCAGGAGAACACTGCCTTTTTGTCTCCAACATCCCGTCCCACTGGCCAGGCATACCTCTGGCCTGGCCATTTCAAAGAGTTTGCTGAGTAAACTGCATCTCTGCATGTGGCAGTGGTTTGAAGTCTTCAGTTAGGTCCCAAGCATCCTGAGGGCAGTTACACCTGCTGTGTTTTGTGGTATCCCAGCAGTTGCCAGCCAGCTGGTAGGTATACCAATGGCAGTCAGTAAATGTTTGTTGAATGAATTCAGTATTTTTTTTGAGACAGAGCTTCAAGCTGTCACCCTGGGTAGAGTGGTATGGCATCGCAGCTCATAGCTACCTCAAACTCCTGGGTTTAAGCGAGTCTCTTGCCTCAGCCTCCCAAATAGCTGGGACTACAGGCACCTGCCACAATGCCTGGCTATTTTTTGGTTGTAGTTGTCATTGTTGTTTAGTAGGCTCGGGCTGGATCCAAACCCACCAGCTCTGGTGTATGTGGCTGGTGCCTTAGCTGCTTGAACTACAGGTGCTAAGCCAATTCAGTATGTCTTAATTCTTAATTAATTCTAACTTACCTGTGTGGCCAACCCTGTAGAAATGTGTTTTCCTGCATATGCATGTGTCTAACAAACAATGAAGCACCTACAATATTCTCATGAAGGATTTGTAAACTTAGAGGGGCTACAAAATCATTCCTAATATTACATTTGCTTACAAAGTAACAGGGTGTTTACATATAGACATCTTCCTACTTTCAAAGGCAACAGGTGTGGCTTCTGGATTTTCTATGTCTCTTACATGAGGTTAAACACCGCAATTCTGTTGGCATTACAAGAATTGGAAATGGTCTGATGGGGTGAGGACAAGGGCTCGAAGTCAACTTTTATCCCTGATGTACTCCACAAGCCATGCCTGGTTCTCAGGTATTTCTAGGAATAAAAGATAATTCAATTGGCAAACAAACCCAGCAGCAGTGGGTGTCTTCCAGAGACAGTATCAGCATGGCAGATCAGGAGAGGGTACGACCCCCTAACACAGCCATGGAGGGAGTTTATGAGTTGGCAGAAGCCACTGTACCTGATACGATTGAGGTAGGTGGTTAGTACTGAAAATTTTTTAGTTCAAGTTGGGAATAAGAAAAAACATAATTCATACTTTAAAAAACCCCCAATAATCTTTTAACAATAATCCCCTCATACTTCCTTGATTTATATACCAGTTAAATAGATTACTCAATTACAACAAGAAATTCAACTGAAGTAAACAGAATAGGCGCCGCATAACAGCAAGTGTACTCAATCACCAAGTATCCGCGGGGCAGCAGAGGCGCCGCACTGCACCCCACCCCACCCCACTGCACCCCA